TTTTTGAAATCATAGAAACCGGTAGTAGGAATATTGTTTTTGTGGGCGTACCTCTCCACCAAACTACCTAATGCTGCTATAAAGTCATCGTGAACTTCCTGGCAGCTTCTGATTCTGCTGATCCTAAATTTGGTACCTTTACTACCGGTCTAATTGTTCGATCAATTGGGGCTTGTAGACGTTTCCGACAGGATTCGGTTAAACTGTGTCCGGCACTGAGTTCATTTGGTCGACAAATGTATGTTAAATAATTTCTTTTTCTTCATTCACGGTTTGGAATTTTTGGATTTAAGGCCTGTTTTTTGGAATTTGTTTTTGGATTTAAGTTTGGAATTTGGATTTAAGAATCCGCACACTTTTCAGCTCTGTTTTTTAGGAAAAAGATGTTGGTCGAGATCAGTTGCTGACTTACTGCCCATTACAGTGTCCGGAGGCGGAATCGGCTTATGTTATGTTAAAACGTCCATCAAACAACAACAGATGCCTAGCGTTTTTTACATACAATGTTGTAAGACGCAAAAACGATTGGTTTTTCTGGCGGTCTGGAAAATGCCTTTTCGAAGAAATCCAATTCGATATTGGCTGCACGTTCCCCTTCAGAAAAAATGCTAATTTGAAAGCGGTCAAGCAAGACACGGATTTCAATCAGTGAATTCTTTTATGCCTTAAAATGAATAAAACACAAATAAGTCAGCGGTGCTCTGTGATTTGAAGGAGCAATATTCTTGACCGATTCCAAATTCGTATTTTCATGCACTAAAATCTGGTTAAAAGTGTGCAATTCAGTGATGTACATTTTGGTTGATGCTGTTCTCAGTGTTATTGGAATTTCTCGTTTCTGGATATGTGCTCTCCTGTTGCTTTATTATGGAACAAAAGTTACAAAAATTGTAAAAATTTAACATAAACAGCGGAACATACAAGGAAACCAGCAAAAACGTGCGTCAGGAACTGCGATTGGGTGTTCTGGATACACTGCTTTATGCAAATTGGGCTGCATTGGTTAGCAAGGATCCCCCTCATCAGTCATTCTGCGTCTCGAAATCAACAAAATTTTGAGCCTGGCTAGTTTGAGCCTAACCTAGCTCCGAAGCTGCAAATCCGGTTCAAATTCAAACTTGGAGCCACAAGCCAAGACGTGTCCTGGAACGAAAGCTTACATTAGGCGATTTACCTCGTATTAAACCTCGAATAAACTCCCAAAAATTTTTGATTGCCTAGCTTCCCAGTCCTCGGGGGAGCTGAATTTGCAGCTTCGAAGCATGACTAACTAGGCTCAAAATTTTGTTACTTGATTGCTCTCCAATAACTAAGCTGCCGCAATGTGCAAAAACTTGTAGAATTATATCGGGAGAGGGCCAAAGACTAGAATGCAGAGATATCTGAAATGGTTAAATGTATAATAACCACCGCTACAAGCTCAAAAGCCTTTGACATCAAAAACTGGTGTTAACCAAACTCACACAAATGTTTTGTCCATAGTTTGTTTTCGGCTCATGCGAGGAAGCATGATAAAGGGGCGACTTATCAAGTTTTCGAGCTTTCGAAAATCGATAATACATTTGTCGTTAAGAGCAAGAGACACATCAGAAAAGGAAAAAATTCTGTATTATTCATGAATAAAAAAACATGTGATCGAGCTATTCCATATCTCCTAGCGCTGTCAGTACAAAACTTGCCCCAAAAACTAAGTTGCTGCAATATGCATAAACTTGTAGCATTATATTGGCATTTCCAGAACTGTCCGAAGAACCAGCGTGGCAATGGCTACATCTCGCCAGCGTGGCAATGGCTTTGGCAATGGCTACATCCCGCCAGCGTGGCAATGGCTTTGGCAATGGCTACATCCCGCCAAAATTGAAAATCTAGTAAGCATAGGAAGAAATCCTCTAACTTCCCAAGGATGATGACACCAAATCATTCATGAAGAGTTTAACCTATTAAAAAAACTTAGAATTACTGTAACTCTATTCACACTTGTCTTATCTTTAATTGAACGGCTATCCCAATCGAATTTATCAATCAGATGGAAAGTGAGGATTTTTCCTTTGACATTCATTTTACCGCGTTCTAGCAAGTACCACCTTAACTGTTCAAGTAATGCTTCGAATACAAAAGTCATAAAATATAAGAATTTCAAAAATTTGTGGATGAAGTTTAAGGCGGTGTGTTCTGAGCAGTGTGACGTGCTGAAAAATTCAACTCAATTGAACGCCTGATCAAATGGACTGACGATGTAGTCTTGGAAGATCGCGTAAACATTGGTTATGAATTTACACTGCTGGCGGTATCCGCGATTTTCCTGTAATTTTGTGAAATTCAATTTAGCATAAGAATGCTAAGAAAGGCACAGCAAGAAACAAACTGATTTATAAATCAAAAGATACTAGAGCAACAAAAGCCTGAGCAAGACGACCGAATATCTGTAAACCAATGAAACTGGAGAAATTAATACTTCGTAAGGCATGTCGATAATGGCGATATCTTCGATAACTTTGTCGCCAACGTTGTGCAGCTTCTTTGGTCATACTTGGGGCTGGTTGACCAACATTATTACATCTATTTTGAAACGCACGGATAACACGGAACTGAAACTAGCAAAATTAATGAAACCTCTCATGCACTCTTTTATTTCCAGTATTGCCGGTTATCTCATGATTGGGGTTTTTTTTTTTTTTAACACTCCGTTAGCGCCACTATCGCGTGCATAACGTTAATTCCAAACAGTGCAGAGCTGAGCACTTCTTACTGGCAGTTACAAAAACTCGGCTCGGCTGGTGGTCAATGGTGTTTGGAAAGCGCTCTAGCATCTCTGCCAACGCCATTTTCCGACGTCGCTCGCCGGGACCGCTTGGCACCTGTCTGACGCACTGGGTAACACTACCCAGTGTTTGGCGGCTGAATCGTGTGTTATGGAGTGGCGGATGGGGTTGGACGTGGCTGGGAGTGTTGGTTGGTAGGTGCCCAGATACAGCTCAGAGATTGGGGCCAGGAATAGTGGAGGGGAAAGAAGGTGCTGATCGGGAGTTCAGGACGATAAATGGTGACAATGGTTGGGGTGGTGGATGCCCCGAAGCGGCTTTGAAGCAGAGACTGGGGACAAGATACAGGAGAGGAAGAAGCGTGCTAGTCAGGAGTTCGAAGCAAGAACTGCAGATAGCAGTAAAGAGGAAAATAAACCAACACAGCACTACAAAGAAAAGTAAATTAAAACAACCCCCAACTTATGAATAAAAGGAAAAAATGCGGAATCAAAGAATTGGAGCCTGAGCAAAAGCAAAAACAGCAAACAAAACTGAGCTTATGCAAGTGGGAGATGTGTTACAAAAACCTGTCTTCAGCAAGCAGTTTCCGCATTTATGAAGCTTATGCTTAGGTGAAGCTGAGGGCCAATAATTTCGATTGCATTTGCACAAAAATTGCACACAGTTCCATTGTGTTACCTCCGGCAGCCTGCAACTGTGCACAACAGTTACACCTCCGTTTTTTTTTTTCCTTCAATCCTTCACAGAAGCAAACGCTGACTTCATTCCCATGCAACCAGTTTACCCCAGTTTTGCTAACATCATGTCTTACAGTTGAAAAAGCATCAGCTTCATTAACAGGGAAGTCCCCTATTGACGACGGGTTTTTATGGAACAATTTCCACTAACCAAACCTCAGACTTTATAAGTCAGATTTGTTCCAATTTACTTTTCTTTGTGGTGATGTGTTGTCTTTTTATGCGTTTTTTGCAGCAATGCAATGCGAAAAACGCATATTGACGAGAGGTTGTCTG